TCACCAATTACTAGGATATCAGATCTAGTGTGCCGGCATTGGAGCCTTAGACCCCTTAGTATAGTGAGGGTAACTCACCTCTCAACTGTCGAATCGAAGTGATAGTCTCAAACTCTCGAACCACGGTGACAAACTCCACCACCTACATTTACCAAAAGACCATTTTTATAAATTTCTAATCAACCAAAATACCCCAGAAGTCAACTAGTCAACCCTTGGTCAAAGTCCAAGTTAATGGTCAAGGTTAACAGTCCATGTTGATCTGACTCGATGAGTGCAGTTCACCGACTCGTCGAGTCCTTCCAGAACTTGAGAAATCATGAAATCCCTCATTGACTAGTCGAGTTTCCCTACAACTCGCCAAGTTCATGCATGTCCAAATGTCAGGAAAACCCTAGCTCACTCGCCAAGTCATCCAACTGACTCACCGAGTCCATTCAGAAATCCTCGCACGACAATCTTCATCGGACTTGCTGAGTTGCCATGCAACTCGTCGAGTCCCTTCAGTCCTTTCTTCATTCAAATGCTTTTAAGCCACTCCAAAGCTCCATATTGTAGATCAAGCTTCCCAAGGTATGCTTATCATGTAATGTTTCAAACTTTACGTGCATGCAAGGCTCTAAAGGTTTAGAATGTCAAATCCAAGCTTATAATGGGGTTTAACTCAAAAGGTAAGGTTCATATGTGCTAAAGCTAGAGACTTTATAACTATAAAGACCAAGATAAGCTCAGATCTGAAGTTGCAACCTCAAATCCTAGCCCATACCTAAAAATTGCTAATATACATGCTAGAAAAGCCCTAATCTTAGACATAAAGAGATCTAGAGAGAGGGAAGTTCAAGGTAACCACTTGTTACCTTCAAACTGATGCCAATAAGCAGAAGTGTCAAATCCACCAGCACCTCTATGCACAATCCTCTTATACTTCAAGTCTTCTTCTTCCAAATCACCTTCCAAGCTTGAAATCACATAAAATGGAGCACACAAATGAATTAGGGTTTCTGGACTCACAAGTGGCTGTAAAGGGAGGCTAAGGGGGCAAAGGATCCTTTAAATAGGGTGCAAAACCCCAGAAATTAGGGTTTCATCCTTCAGCTCCAACTTGTCGAGTCGTGTCCTCCGACTCGTCAAGTTGGTCACTTAAACACGTAGCCAAAAACGTTCCTACTCGACGAGTCAGGGCACCCAACTCGTTGAGTAGACATTTCAAATATGAAAATAAAGTTGTAAAGCCCATACTTGAGAGTCGGGGCAATAGATTTTGCCACACTGTCAAGAATGTACATGTTGTGCCTTGAGGTAACTTGGTGTTGGCCCCCACAAACATATATACATTAAAAACAAGACTTTTAGCCACTCCCTAATATAACTCAATAGAATCGAAAGTTATAACACGTGCTCACTCTTATCGGTATTGGGTCCGCGCATGGAACAAATTATGGACTTATTTTCGTGAAAACATATGTGATGAAAAATATGCTCAATCGTCTTCATTTAAAAAATATGATAATGGCTGATTCCAACTATTTGTTGACTAAAAAAAATCTTTTTATAGAATATAGTTTCTAAAAATTCCCTAATATTTACCCAGATTGGTTACATGTTTCAAACCACTTACACCAGTCAAAGTGGTTAACGATCAGTCCAATGTCTAGAGTTCAAGTCCAAGTCTAAGGGGATCTTTTGGAAGCCAAGCATTTTTCCTAACTTATACCGGTCAAAGTAGCCATTCCTCTTATTGGTGACAAGAAACAATGAGGAAGAAAGTAGGCTTAAGAAGATAATATGGGAACTGATGAACAAAGAGTACATGCAGGTGATATTAAAAATTAAAACCAATTAATTAAATAATTATATTAAAAATTAAAAAAAATTTATTAATAATTTAATTTTTTCAAGAGCAAGCTACTAAAGAATTTGCAGTTGCAGCTGCATTTAAGCTTTATACAGGAACATCAAAGGAAATTCGGAAACATAAGCACTTGTTGCTACTTCTGAAGTTATTGCAAGCAAAAGAGAAGTAACTTTTTTTCATATTTTTTTTATAAATGGTAAAAAAAAATAGATATCAATTAACTTTTCTAGTAATATCCACGAATTATTGTTTTATATGAAACCAGAAAGAAAAAACAAGTTGAGCATTGGAAGCTAAGAATGCTAAGCCTGCCCAATCTGCTGCAGTAGCACTATTTAACTTTTCACCAAGAAGTTTTGTTCTTTTTATATTGATATGTATGAGGGTAATTTTTGAAATATCAACATATAAATATTGTTGCTATGTTGCTTATCATGACTATGTATCTTTTTGCATATTTGTGCATAAACTAAGTTCAAAAATCAATTATGATGCAATAAACAGTCTCTTTAATGATGATGTACTCTGTTTCTTCTAATTGAAAGGGGATTATAATTAATTGGATCATAACCTGTATCATGATATGGGAATGATTATCTTTATAATATTTAAAATCTTTTTTAATTTAATTATTATTCATCTTCATTATAGAAAAAACACAAAGAAAAAGTAATTTATAAATTTTTTTTTTCTTTATTTCCAAGGAATTGGACTTGGAATTTAGAAACTAGTTCAAAAGATTCCACCAATATGAACAGACTTTCATTGCCATAACTGCTTCCATCAAAGGTACTTAATATTTTCAATTTTTCTTCTTTATTAAATATTAAAATGCTCCCATTACATATACTGAAATAAATAAAAATAAAAAATGTAGTTTTATGCATTTACAGTAAACAAAATATTTTAATATAAATAAAGATTTCATTTTTATGATTGAATTCCATTCCGGCCATACAAAATTTCACATTCCAATTTCAATTCCAATTCCAATTTTGAATTTACATATCTACATTTATAGTATCCCAATCATAACAATTTTCTAGTCTTTAATTTACCTATTTACCACCTTTAAATTCAAATGTAAATCATATGGGAATCATCTATGAATTACATGTAAATCACAATTGAATCACATATTAGTTACATGTGATTCATATGTAATTTACATATGAATCACATGTAATTCACAAGTAAATCACAAGTGATTCGCATATGGATTACATGTAATTCACATGTAAATCACAAGTGAATCACCTATGAGTTACATGTGATTGATATGTAATTTACATATGAATCACATGTAATTCACAAGTAAATCACAAGTGATTCACAAATGAATTACATGTGAAACACATGTAAATCACAAGTGAATCGTGTATGAATTACATGTGATTCATATGTAATTTACATATGAATCATAAGTAAATCACAAAGTGATTCACATATGAATTATATGGGATTCACATGTAAATAACAAGTGAATCACATATAACTTACATGTGATTCATGTATGATTTACATATGAATCACATGTAGTTCACAAGTGATTCACATATGAATTGCATATGATTCACATGTAAATCACATGTAATTTGCACGCAAACCACAAGTGAATCACATATAAATTACATGTGATTCATGTGTAATTCACATATGAATCACATGTAACTCACAACTAAATCTCATATGAATTATATGTGATTCACATATAAATCACAGGTGAATCACATATGAATTACGTCTATATGCACACATGTATTTTTGTTGCATTAAACATTTTTCTTTTTTAATTTTCTTGTAGATTTGAAAGAATTTTTGGAAAATATTGAATAGGTGAAAAGTGATGAATTTAAGAAAATATGGAAATATGAAACGAAGACATGAAAATGTTTTGAAATTTTGTAGTATTTTTTGTTAGTTTATATTTTATTTTGTATGGAATAAAATACTTATACTATTATGCTTATAAATTATTAAAAAAAATGGATTTTTTATATGATTAATTACGAATATTATAGTATAAGAAATATATATATATATATATATATATATATATATATATATATATATATATATATATATATATATATATATATATATATATATTTGAAAAATATGCATGTATGCACTTCAAATGTTGATTTTTTTGGTTAAAAAGTTATAGTTATTTTTATAAATCTTGCAGTTTGTTTTAATTTATTGATTTTTCAAAGTTTACTATTTTTAAAATGTCCATGCAGTTTTTTTTTTTAATTATTTTTTCAATTTCTTTAAAAAATTAAAGATTTTCAAAAAAAAATTAAAAAATTGTATTTTCTTTTTAAAACTAAAAATTTTTATTTAAAAAATATGAAAATTTTATTTAATATGTTAATTTTAAGACTTTTTTTATTAATATTTCTAATAACACAAAAAATTGAACATTAAATGAGATTGTTAAGACGACGACCAAGCCTTAATGAGTTTACTTTGATCTAACGCTCCACTTTTAATCGTCAGGTTCTCGGGAAACTCTAAGTTCTCAACGGATCTCACCACTATATATATATATATATATATATATATATATATATATATATATATATATGTATATATATATATATATATATATATTCTGTAATGAATTTTATATCCACAGTTTTATGTCGTTACTCAGCAATGAATAAATGAATTATCCGAAGTTAAAACAAAAATTAAAATTTACTACAAAAGTGCACACATATAAATTTATAATAGAATAAAAACATTTTAATGAATATATGAATAGTTAAACGTTAATATTCATATTATAATTATTTCAACAATATGCATATTCAACATTCATTACAGAATAATAGCGTTAACATAGTATTTTTACGTTCTGACACTATATATATATATATATATATATATATATATATATATATATATATATCTTTATCTTTACTATATTATTAAGGATATTGCCAATTTCTTAAAAATTAAGAGGTACAACATATATTACCTCATGTACAACAGATTAAGCATTATACGTACTATACTACACGCTACACGGATTATATACTACACCCTAATACAAGGAATCCCTAAACACACTGCCATCTAACCTATTCACATCGACACCACCAAAGATGCCCCTTTCCTTACTTCATACGGAAGGCGGTGATGAACAGATCAATCAAACCTCTGATTTTTTAGATCGATAACGGAGACTAATGCTACTCAGCATCTTCGATCCTCAACTAATGGCTATCAATGATCCTAAATAGAGAGAGGAGGAGGAAGTCGCTGCTGTTGATGACGAAGATGATGGGTTTTGTACATAAGAACTTTCCTATGTGCGCATACAAACCCTGATGCTTGGATCTAGGTTTCTCGAATTCCGATTCATTTGACATAGAACTTAATCGAACACATCAATTTAGTTCTGACCGGGCCCGGCACATAAGTCAAATCAAATCATCGAGCGGTCGAGATATCACTTTTTCCTTCTTAGGATAAAAGTTACAGATAAACTTCGACTTATATGCATTTACTTATTCATTAACCAACCATGCAGAACAATGCGTTTTATGACATCGAGTTACCAATGCGTTTTCGCATTATCAATGTACAATCAATTAACCAATAACAAACCATATATCTAGGTTTTAAGACTATATGATATTATCGTCTTGCGATCACCTTTTACTATCACATTCCATAAGGTGATTCCAGCAAGCGCGGGTTTGTTCCAATGCTCAAAACTAGATCATAAGCACTCATGAATGTTGCAGCAATCTTTTGCTATGTTTAAAACCATTTAGACACTCTACACACCTATTCATGACAATCTTCATTCATACCAACTTCCAACATATGAACGATTGTGGACAATTTGAACAATTCGATTATTCTTAATAAACTCAATTATTTTGGAAGTCAAAACATGCAAAGTGAAACAATAGTTAAACAATTAACAAAAGACAGTAACATTACTTATAAATAAAACTCATTTATTTAATAATCAAATGTTAATTACATTTATCTATTACACGTTTCTAATACTATCTAATCTATGCTAATATCATCCTTCAGCCCAATACTCCTAGCATGCTGCAAATGCTTAACCCTACTCAGTCCCTTCGTAAGCGGATCTGTTGGGTTATCTTCTGATGATATCCTCTTCACTACGAGTTGTCCTTCTTCTACGCAATGTCTAATAAAGTGGTATTTCCTGTCGATATGTCGTGATCTACCATGATCTCTTGGCTCCTTGGTCAAGGCAACCGCTCCTTCATTATCACAGAAAATCTCCATTGGGCTCCTTTATGGCAGGTACAACTCCAAGATCACTAATGAAGTTCTTCAGCCATATTGCCTCCTTCGACGCTTCGCTCGCTATAATGTACTCTAATTCGCACGTTGAATCAGCTACGGTTTCTTGCTTGGAACTTTTCCATGTTACTGCTCCTCCATTCAGGGTAAAGACCCAGCCCGACTTCGAACGGTAGTTGTCTCTGTCGGTTTGAAAACTGGCATCACTATACCCTCGCACCTCCAAGTCATCACTCCCTCCAAGGACTAAGAACCATTCCTTCGTCCTCCTAAGGTACTTAAGGATATTCTTTACCGCAATCCAATGGGCTCTGCCTGGATTCCCTTGATATCTACTAACCATGCTCAAAGCAAAGGCTACATCAGGGCGAGTACAAGTCATAGCATACATGATTGAGCCAACTGCAGAAGCGTATGGAACTCGGCTAATTTCAGCTATCTCGGCTTCGGTACTCGGACTTTGAGTCTTACTCAACTTGGCATTGCTTTGTATTGGTAAGTCTCCCTTCTTCGAGTTTTCCATACTAAAACGTTTTAGTACCTTCTCTAAGTAAGTGTTCTGACTAAGTCCTATTAGTCTCTTACTTCTTTCTCTTACTATCCTTATTCCCAAAATATAGGATGCCTCTCCGAGGTCCTTCATAGCGAAGCACTTCCCGAGCCAGGACTTAACCTCCTGCAGAGTCGGGACGTCGTTTCCTATGAGTAATATGTCATCAACATATAGAATGAGAAATCTTACTATACTCCTACTTGCTTTGACATATACACACGATTCATCTTCGCTTCGTACAAATCCAAACTCTTTGACTTTCTCATCGAAACAAAGATTCCATCTGCGAGATGCTTGTTTAAGTCCATAAATGGACTTCTCAAGCTTACACACTCTATTCGGATGCTTCGGATCCACAAACCCCTCTGGCTGAGCCATGTAAACATCCTCAGCCAACTTTCCGTTAAGGAAAGCGGTCTTGACATCCATTTGCCAAATCTCATAATCATGAAATGCGGCAATAGCTGGCATCACTCTAATAGACTTTATCTTCGCAACTGGAGATAAGGTCTCTTCATAGTCAACTCCGGGAGTTTGAGTAAAGCCCTTCGCAACCAATCGCGCTTTATACGTGTGTACCTTTCCATCCACGTTGGTCTTCTTCTTGAAGATCCATTTTCACCCAACGGTCTTACGTCCAGGCACATTATCAACCAAATTCCAAACTTAGTTATCATACATGGATTGGATCTCACTATCCATTGCCTCTTTCCATTTCGCAGACTCCGGGCCTGCCATGGCTTCCTTATAGCTATTAGGTTCATCTAGGTTTACTAGTGTACTATCACTAATATACGTGTCCCCTTCTGTAGTAATATGAAAACCATACAACTGGGGTTGAAGTCTAACTCTTTCAGAACATCTAAGAGGTAATGATATGTCAATCGGTTCAACTGGAGTTTCCTTCTTGGGTTGAGCGCCAGCGGTAGAGGTTCCTTCATCTATCGACTCTTGAATCTCTTCAGGATCAATTTGCCTCCCACTGTCTCCTTGGCCTATGAGTTCTCGCTCTCGGAAAACTCCTCGCCTCGCAACAAAGACAACATTATCCTTTGGTCTATAGAAGAGATATCCAAAGGATTTCTGCGGGTAGCCGATGAAAATACATCGCTCACTACGAGGTTCGAGCTTATCGTGAGTATCTCGTCTTACGAAAGCCTTGCAACCCCAAACCTTGATATGTGCTAATGAAAGAGCTTTCCCCATCCACATCTCGTGAGGTGTTTTGGCAACCTTCTTAGTAGGGACTCGGTTAAGGACATGGGCGGCAGTCTCTAAGGCATACCCCCAAAAAGAGATAGATAGTGAAGCACGACTCATCATAGAACGAACCATGTCCAACAAGGTTCGATTACGCCTTTCTGCCACACCATTCAATTGTGGTGTCCTAGGTGGCGTTAATTGTGAAACTATTCCACACTCCTTGAGATAATCGTGGAATTCAAGACTTAGGTACTCTCCTCCTCGATCGGATCAAAGCATCTTGATCTTCCTGCCCAATTGATTCTCCACTTCATTCTTGAACTCTTTGAACTTTTCAAAAGTTTCTGACTTTTGCTTGATTAAGTAGATATACCCATATCACCTATAGTCATCGGTAAAAGTCACGTAGAAGCCGTTTCCATCCTTCGTGGTAGATCTAAACGGTCCACACACATCGGTATGTATGAGGTCCAATAGACCTTCACCCCTTTCGCATGTACCAGCGAAGGGTGACTTAGTCATCTTTCCAAGTAAACAAGACTCGCATGTGTCATCTTCCCTAAGGTCGAACGACTCCAATACTCCATCCTTTTGGAGTTGGGCTATGCGTTTCTTGTTGACATGTCCAAGACGACAATGCCATAAGGATGCCTTATCCATACTATTGGAAGAATCCAAGTACAAAACATCATTTCCTAAGTTATCAACAATCATAACAGATTCATAAATTCCATTACATGGTATAGCTTCAAAGTAAAAGACACCATTTAGATAAGCTAAAATAGAACCATTCTCATTATTAGAAGAAAATCTAAAACCTTGTCTAAACAAACCATGAAAAGAAATGATGTTTCTAGCCATTTCTAGCGAATAGCAACAATTGTTCAAATCTAAAGATAAACTACTCCTAAGCACTAAAGAATACACTCCACTCTAGCTCACAGGCGACGATCTTCTGTTCCCCATGATTAGATTTATTCTTCCATGCTCCACGTCTCTACTTCTTCTTAGTCCCTGCATATTAGAACAAATGTGGTAACCACAACCGGTATCAAGAACCCAAGAAGTATTATGAGATGAATCGTTAGATTTAATTGTATATATACCTGCGAAAGATGGCTTGATATTTCCTTCCTTGATGGCTTGCAGGTACTCCAGGCAGCTTCTCTTCCAATGTCCTATCTTGTGGCAGTGGTGGCACTCTGCCTCCTTCGTGTTAGGGCAGGGCTTAGCGGCATCAACTTTGGTCCCACTAGAAGAGGCACCATCTCAGGCTTTCACCTTGCGATAGTTCTTTGACGAAGCCTTCCTCTTCTTTCCCTTTCCTTGTCCAATTGCCAAGACAGGAGTTGGTGCAACAGACTTGTCCTTGAAGTTTCTCTCAGCGACCCTCAAGAGACCTTGGAGTTTGCTTAGGGTGGCCTCTTCTTTGTTCATGTGATAGGTCATCCTAAATTGATTGTAGCTTGGAGGCAAAGAGTGAAGCACCATGTCGATCGCCAAGTCTTCCCCAAAGTCAACATTTAACTTGCGTAGACGGTCGACATACCTTTGCATCTTTTGCAGGTGCACGGTAAGAGACTCTCCATGACCCATCTTAGCGGAAATCATGTTCATGAAAATCTCATAACGCTCTTGTCTCGCGTTTTGATGGTATCTCTCCAATAAGTCTTGGTGCATTTCATACGGATACATGTACTCGTAGGACTTTTGGAATTCGGAGTTCATAGTCGCGATCATGATGCAATGCACTTTCGTTGCATCACGCTCGTGAGTTTCGAAAGCGGTTATTTCGGCGAGAGTAGCAATTTCAGGGTTGATTTTCTCTAGCTTCTCATCGAGGACATACTCCTTATCCTCATAGCGAGCAATCGTGCGAATGTATCTTATCCATTCGCTAAAGTTCGTTCCATCAAAGGGGACCTTTTGAAAAAGGCTCATCAAAGTGAAAGAACTTGCAGCAGCATAGTTGGCGTTCGACATCTATAAATAGAAAGGACAAAGATAGATTAGAATATGAATCCCTAATTATCACCCAATAATAAAAATTAGGGCTAGGATCCAACAACAATATTTACACATTAGAAAAGGGATGGCATAATCTAATATGCAAACAATTTGAAGGTAAGTGAATGACGATTTACTAATTCTCTACCATGAAAAACATAACTTTAGGTCCTAAATGCATTGAGAATTCCTAGGTTTGGATGAGATTCATTGAAACTTTTCAATGGCATGTTTAAATCTCGATATGCCCCTCTTGTTTGTACCTGGGATACCGAGGATCAGAAAGCGGGTGTGAATTACCATGCAAATTCACATGGTGTCTTCATTGTAACGATCACCTATTCGATGTGCCGGTAAACCACACACGCTCCATCGAACTATGATAAACAATGAATCACCCTTTGCCACATTCGCTTAGAACCAATTAGTGTGCCGGTAAACCACACACGCTCCACTAAATTCTTAGCAAGGTGCAAAGTGTAATTTCATGGGATTGCATCAATTTACTTTTCCTAAAGTAACTAAGATTGGGAAATTTTAAGAAAACATGCAGTTACTTAGTACTTCTTATCATACTTTTAATGAGAGGATGAGGTTGCCCTATCCTACCCCGTTCGGCTAACGACCCTCCACCAATCAAGCAAGCGGTGGGTGTGAGTGTACACCCATTAAGCACCATTTTATAGGCCGCAACCTTATACCCACCTTATAGACCGGCTTCGTGAATGAGGCCTACTAACGGTAAGACTAGCATTTAAGTTTTATATATATATATATATATATATATATATATATATATATATATATATATATATATTAATCTTGTAATATTATATTAGTATAGGGTTGTATTTTAAACTTGTAAAATTCTAGGGTTTGAAATTTAATTTGTCTAAATTAAACTTTTAATCACAAAACATAAGTTTCAAAACTTGAGGACAAGTTTTAAACATTTAAAACATAAAGGATCAAATAACAAACAATTAATCACATAATTATCCATATTTGATTAATAATTATCATATAAGGAAATTAAATATTTTATTAATTGATAAATATCTTCAATTAGATCAAAAATATAGTCATATATATCATAAAATCGGATTAGGTTTGATCTAATATGATTAAGGTAAGTTTCCATAAGATAAATATGAAAAAATCCCGTTTTTGGCTAATCCCGACGCTCGGACTCGCCGAGTACCCACACTGGACTCGCCGAGTCCACTATGGGACGCGCCGAGTCCATGACTCAGAAACACAAAAATCGAATTTTGCAGTTAAGATTCAAACATTCAAGCATCAATTTAATAGAAACCAATCTAGGCTCTGATACCATTGATGGGTTTTGTACATAAGAACTTTCCTATGTGCGCATACAAACCCTAATGCTTGGATCTAGGTTTCTCTATTAAACATGCGTTGAATCCAAGACTTCTAATGGCTAATTAGGTATAAGAACAATACAAAACCATAGTTAGAAGCATACCTTGAAACACTTGTTTGATCTTCTTGTTCTTGGAGCTTTAGAGTCACAATTGTCACTCCTCTAATGGCTTACAAACACCAACTAGCAAAGAGAATGATTTGAGAGAGAGGAGAGAGAAGGAAATCAGCCAGAGGTTCTCTATTCTTAATGAAGTGTCGATTTCCCTTTGCCATAGGGTCTATTTATACTTGTAGACTCCTTAAGGGTTACAACTTAAACCCTAGTTGGATAATATTCTCTTAAAGCAATCCATATCCTTACCATAGATAGCCTTGGACGATTTTGAGCTATCCTTAGCTTCTAGAATTCGTCCAACCCCTATCCAATAAGAATTTACTGTCTAAAGTTTAACTATCAAACAATTGAAAGTTTATACCCTCTTATTTAATTAATCTCTTTAAGTCACCAAATTAATACTAATTAATCTATGACTTATATTAATCAAATAACAATATTATTATTCATTATATTATTCTCATAATATATAAATAATATCTATTCTCTCATAATAAATCATCCTACCAAGTTGCTATGGGGAAGGCAACCTAAAAGAACCATGCACAATCGGATACTTGTCTAATATAGTTGCAGCCTTAGATACTATTCCAACGAAAACACCGTTGCCTTCTATTTTCACCCTAATAGACGCTCTCAGGTCTTAGCATCTTCGATCCTCAACTATAATGGCTATCAATGATCTCGTACACAGAGAGGAGCAGGAACTAGGGGGTCAACTGATGAGTAGCTAGACGATTCATCATGTTCCAGATTTTATTCATCATTTCAACTGGACAAAGATCCAGACTTGGTAAGCATAAAGACTTTCGTATTCTTTCAAATGGTTTGTGTATTTCCTTTTGCCCATTTTTGTTTGTTATTATTCTTATTGTTGTCTTTACGTTTTCTCTATTTCTATTCTCTTCCATTCTCTACTTTTTCCTAATAAATTCTTTCAATCGTTAGCATCATCTTCAGTCGGCAACGCCACCAATGACCCACCCCCGGCGCATCCGGTGCTCACAGACAATCCTTCCTATTTCTATTATTCCATCCATGAGGTAAAAACCATAAATTTTGTTTGAAGTTTTAATGGCTTGTTTATTCAATTACGATTTCTGAATTTAGGGTATTTTTTCATGTTCCTGATTTGGGTGTTTTTTAGCTTCAAGAAGAAGAATAATCATGCTCATGGAGTACAACCTAGGGTAAACACCCCTATTACAAATTCTTTTTTATTAGAATTATGTTCTAGTTTCAAGGACCAAAATTGGTTTCTAGGGTTCCACTTTATCTACCATATTCAAGAGATATCAGTGAAACAAGAGGTATTTTTATTGTATTAGTTTTTAGTTTGATTTTTTTTTGTTTGTTGCTTTTACACGGATATTATGTTTGAGTCTCAAGTTGGTGAGGATGACACAGTCCGAGCTTGGGATAATCTTTTGGGTAAATCCCATGCATTGATATATTGCTTAAATCAAATGATGGGTAAGTCTTCTTCTTTTTTATTGCAATTTGACTGGAAATATCTCCAATTGCTAGGAGTTTCATTTTGATATTTGTGCAGTGCAAAAGTTTTAATAATTTTCTATGAAAGGATCATGGGAGCACCGAATTCTTTGATCCATTAAGGGGGCAATCAACAGAAACCTTGGAGCCAGTTGAAAATACGGCAGTTGTAGAAAAACTTCCTGCTACCCAACCAACCTCTCATCTCTCTTCAAAGAAAGAGTTGACATCCTTTAATAAGCTACTAATGAAGAGATTTCATGTCCAAAAAATGATTTCAGTTTCTTCGGTAAGTCTTCTAAACATCATGATACACACAAATCATAATCAAAACATATGAAAAGTTAAACAATTCTGTTAGTAGCTTTTGCAAGTTATAACCTGGATCTTTTTCCACTAAACTTTTCAAGAAAAACCATAAAAGGCAGCAATGGTATGGTGTATTACTAACTTATCTCCATTTCTACCACCCCTACTCTTGGAAGTAACATTTTCTAAATTTTATCAGCAAGTGGAGAACTATCATCAAATATCTAGTCAGATGAATTGAATGATTCTCAAAAGTTGAAGGAAGGAGGATTCAAGATTGTTAGCCAGCAGGCGTACATTAAACGGATGCATGGACTTAAAGATGAGATCATGCGTTCTTGGCATTCTGAGGATCGTGTAACAACCTTAAAGTTATCAATTAAGGTATCTCCCTTTTTTCTTTATCAACAAAAGTATATATAATTTTGTAATTTGGGAATCAAAATTTTGTTGGCTTGCAGGTTGCTAGGCTTCTGATGGACACATCTGTGGCACAATTTTATCCTACAATATTTGTTCTTGGTGTTGATATAATGGACATGCTTGGTGATATGGTATGGGATCGAATTAAACAGAAAGTCGAGTTTGCAGATGATGGAACCAAAATATGCTCTTTATCAGGTTTCTTATCTCATGTTCAGTTTCTGACCCACTAAAATTTATTTTTAGATAGAAATAACCATTTATACAATTATAATATCATTACAGATGACTTTGATGCAAATAGTATATGCTTTGAAGCCAAAGAGGAAGGATCAACAAAGGAGTACTGAAATTTTCATATTTGACATTGTTGATTTTGGTCAAGCCTATGAAAACAAAGGTTAAAACATACATGTTAAGTCTCTAATGGTGAGTTACCTTTTAAGTTACTATGATTTAAATAATCTTTGGATATAAGATGACGTATTTCAGTTGTTATTTGCTTTACAGTTGTTGATTTGGAGGTTTTAAGTAGGAATAGACTTTAATTTTTGAAAGATTTGAGTAATTGCCTATCTGTCCTCCTCAACACATACTGCTATGTCAATTTTATGTTGCAAAAGAACTCAATTCCATGGCATCTCGACCATGAGGTTGTCATATATAAAGTCCTTTTTGTTTATTGTGTTGTCATTTACTAGTAAGAAGTCATTGTCATTTACTGTTAAGACGGTGCTCTATTTTTCTTTTCATAGGTCCAATGATAATAGTTTTTCCTGATATTTATGTTTTTTTAGGAAATTTTCATGACCCAGTTTTGTGAACTGGCATCTGGATTTATGAGAATCTTTTTTGATTGTAAATGAATGAGTCTTTTTTCTATTATTACTAGATTGATTTTGGATGGTAACTATTTATTAAATATTAATTTGTCTTTTTTTTTTCTTAAAAGTTTGTGAAAAGAAAAAGCCTTGTTCTGCATAGAACCATATATGTTTTTTTAAGTCAAAGAGAACTAGAATGTTAAAGTTTAATGTTTCATTTTTTTTCAGGTTGTAGCTATGGTGTTACAAATAACAAACCCTTTCAATACCTTGTTATAAAGAGGCGATTATAATATAATAGTATGCACAATTCTTCATTAATTATTACCAATGCCAAATCCTTGGTCAATTTTGTTTGTTCCCATGTCACGAATTCAAAATGCATATATTCAAAATAAGGCAACTATCGAGTACATGTAGGTATTAATAATTTAGATTTCATGCAGAAACATTATGTATGTGATCCTAAAATTAAGGCACAGGTGAAGAAAGCATGAGATTTCAACACTTTGTGAGAGGCACAAGAGATAACCAACATTAATAACAGATGTGCGGAGGAAACTGAGTTTCAAAGCTTATCCTTCTTAATAAATGAAGGTTTTTTTTTTTTTTTGCCACATGTCAGTCTCTCATGAGTTTTGACACTTGTCATTTTGTAGTATTTTTGAAATAAATATTATCCACTTGTCAATTTTTGGTTTGTTTTAATTTTAAAATTAAAATCATATACTTATATATGTAAAGTATTAAATATCATATATATGATATTAAATTGCAATAAATATGTTTCCTTATTTTTTATTATAATTAATGAAGAATTGTGCATACTATTATATTATAATCGCCTCTTAATAAATTATTACAACCATAGAATGATTGAAGTTAATCAAGGGTCTACAAGTTGTCTTATATTCCTACATAATTTAGTGTTTCCAATATATATATATATATATATATATATATATATATATATATATATATATATATATATATATATATATATATATATATATATATATAGGGTTAGGTTCATTTGAGACCACTTATATTTTGTGAGACCATGAGACGCATTTTTTTATTTTTTTTTTATTTTTATTTTATTTATTTTTATTTTTTTAGTTAATTCATGTTCCGAAAATAATATTAAAAAAAGAATTTTTTTGATTTTTCCATTTATTTTGCATTTTAAAATTATTTTAAAATATATGAAGTCATCAAGGACTTAACACTTTGCTCAACATGTTACAAAGTGTTTTGATACTTAGAAGCTGTTAACTAATTCTTAATCTTTCTGCACTGTTTTAGAAAAAAATCATAGAAAAATAATACGAAATCAAAAACTAGATCCGTAAATTCTGAGAGTTCCTAAAATGAGTCTAGTTTACTCACAATTTTTATCTTGATTTTTGGAAGCTTTTAACTTGTCTTAAAATGCTCATATTCACAGACTGGTCCGGGTTTGTGTTTGAAAAGACAGGCTGTTTTGTAAAAATCACCATAAATTGTAGAAAAATCGTATGGAGATGTGCAAGTAGTCATTTTAAAGCTAAGAAGTGGAACTACTTGCACCTAACACAGTTTTGAAAAATAAAATGTTTAAGTTGTCCAAAACAGTCCATGAATGGAGTGGAACTTTTCTGATGAAGGCTGTTAGAAAAACTTAGTTATGTTCTTGGTGTTTTAACATGTATTCCCCCCTTAAAAACTTGAGAAAACATTAAAATGTAGGGGTATGAACTCACCTTGAGTGATTTCAGTGGATGGATGATGGAGAGAAGGGGTGTTCAACTCAAGAACACTTGGGAAGATTGCTTGAAGATTTGAAGATCTAACACAAATATGATGGAGTTTGTGTAAGATATCATTGATTTGTATGGAAATAAGTGAGATAATCACAAGGAGAATGGATTATGCTTACCAAATGTGGACGAACACTTGATAATCAGCCTTGAATCTCGAGTTTGGTGGAGAAAAAGTTTGAGAGAAAAGTGGTGTTTGATACTTAGTGAAATGAGGCAAATGAGAGAAATGAGGAGAAAGGATATTTGTTCCAGCTCTAAAAACATGGGAATGGGTGGAAAATGAGTGCAAGGGGCATTGATGTGACTTAGGTAAGGTGGGGAGGTGTGGTTAGTCAAAGAGTGGGTGTGGGGTGGTTGCTTGTGACATTGGATAAGGCAAAGTCAACACTCCACCTTTAATAATTCACCCATTTGATTTTTATTATTTAGATAATGATTTTCATCAAAATATGTTTAAATTATGAATATTTAGAGTTTATTATGTTAAAATATAATTTCTGGAGAAAATCCCGCTTTAAAATCACGAAAAACGGGCTTAAAATGTTAAAAATATCAAAAATGGGCTAAAAGTGACAAAATCCCAAAATTTGGCCGAGGTTCGGTCTTCTGATGCTGAACCGAGAGAGAGGAAGGCAGAAACCGAGAGGGGAGAAGAGGGAGAGAAGGAACCGAGAGGGGAGGATAGAGACCGAGAGAAGAGAAGAGAAGAAAGGAGAGAGGCGAGAAGGAGCAGAGACCGAGAGGCCGAGTAGAGACAGAGAGGCGGAGGCCGAGAAGGAGCAGAGACCGAGAGGCCGAGTAGAGACAGAGAGGCGGAGGCCGAGAAGGAGCAGAGACCGAGAGGGGCAGAGACCGAGGCTCGGTCTCGCATGCCTCAGCCAACAGAGGCTCGGTTCTGGTCCTAAGAGGCCTCTCTTCTTGGTTTCGGTTCCTAAAGCCTATTTTTCTCGTTTTCGCCCCGTTTTAAGCCGTTTTTGACCCGGTTAAGGGTCAGAATGACCCGAATGATTCTAAAAAGTTACGGGAACTTTTGAGAGAGATTTGGGAGAGATTTCACATACTTGGAGAGATTTGGGAGAGATTTGACATTCTTGGAGAGATTTCTCATACAAAGAGATATTTGAGAGAGATTTCTCATACAAAGAGATATTTGAGAGAGATTTCACATACTTGGAGAGATTTGGGAGAGATTTGACATTCTTGGAGAGATTTCTCATACAAAGGGATATTTGAGAGAGATTTTACATACTTGGAGAGATTTGGGAGAGATTTGACATTCTTGGAGAGATTTCTCATACAAAGGGATATTTGAGAGAGATTTCACATACTTGGAGAGATTTGGGAGAGATTTGACATTCTTGGAGAGATTTCTCATACAAAGAGATATTTGAGAGAGATTAAGTGAGAACGATTGAGAGAGGTTCCATGTGGGACAGTTGTGAGTGTCCGGCTTCATAATGCAAGGCTTGTAAATCCTGTTAAGCCTTGCTTAAGGATCTTACACACTCCCGATGAGTATGAAACATTGTTTTATCGGTTTGGCTTGCCACTTACCGCAGTTTTTAGGTTAAGGAGATCTAGTTGTACGTACTTTTCGATTTATGATTTCTTATCAGAATAGCGAGTTGTTTAGTAAATACTGAACGTAAGTCCTAGTACACAAGGGTTAGTTGAGCTGACCGGTTTGACTTGTTGACTTTATTTGACTTTGAATTGACTAGAATTTGACGGTTGTCACATCATCCCCCCGTTAAAGGGAATTTCGTCCCGAAATTTGCACTTCGAATGGGGATCCAAGAATTTAGAGGAAAGATGGGGGAAACTTTTCGTAGTACAAGAAATTGATTATGGTGAGGAATAACTCGCCCGATGTCACATGATTATTACTATGCATGCTTTAATCGATGCTAGATTTAACATATAAAGAAATTCGGGATTTAAATGTCGATGTTAGAAACACGTACTGATATTTGCGGGCAGTTCCGGGGTGGTTTCTCCCTCGGTGATTGCAAGCACCCTTCCACCACCACCGGCATCTCTTGTTCTTGGGCATTCCCTTTTAAAGTGTCTCGTTTCTCCACACTTGTAACAGGTTGGGCTTACTCCAAAGCCAGGGACCTGGTTGATGGGTCGTGCTGGTGCCTTACAGAAACGAGCAGTGTGCCCCTCTCTGTCGCAGTTTTTGCAGTGCATCTTTCGGCAAGCCCCAGTGTGATGGAAGTTACACTTGTTGCATTTCAGAAGGGTTCCAGCGTATGGTTTCATAGGAGTTGGCGTGGTGAGGGTTGTGGCAGCATGAACAACAAAGATCTGTTGCTTCTTAGCGAGGCCTTGGGCTGATTGGTCCTTCTTGTTGTCCCAAAACTTTCTTTCGATGTTCCCTCCTCTTGCTTGGGTAAGGGTGGTTGTCATAGTGTCGTGGTTGGTATGATGGTCAATGAGTTGTTGTGCTAACTCCTTGGCGCTGTCGAAGGTAGTTGGTCTTGAGGCCAGCACGCTATCTTGAATTTCGGGGGACAATCCCCAGAGGTATCGCTCCAACTTTTTGTCTTCCGGGGTGACCATAGCGGGACAAAGGAGTGCTAGATCACAAAATCGGTTGGTGTAAGTTGTATGGTCGGAGCCTACCATTCTGAGATTCCATAGTTCTTGCTCCAGCTTTTTCACTTCACCTCTTGAGCAATATTCCTTCAGCATCATCTTCTTTAAGTCCTCCCAACTTAACGAGTTAGCCACTGCAAGCGTAAGCGACTTAACTCTGCCGTTCCACCAAGTGAGAGCTCTTCCGATGAAGGTGAATGTTGCGTACTTGACTTTTCTCGCTTCGGGGCAAGCACAAATCTCAAAGATTGCTTCGGTTCTCTCGAACCATTGAATTAGCGCGAGGACACCCCCACTTCCATCGAAGGAATCGGGTTTGCCATTTGTGAAGTCCTTGTAAGTGCATTCCTTTGTGCATCCTGCACTATCCCCGTGGTTAGGGTTTGTGGCTCCAGATCCAGCACCACCAGTGCTATTTGTACCAATTTGCGACATTGCAGCTACCACGGTTGCTGTTACTACAGCTTGGAACATTTCGGGATCAAACTGAGGAGGTGGCGTTGGAGTTGGTGGCGCTGTGCTGCCGGAAGGTCTGGGTCTTTTCCTTGGTGGCATCGTTCTGTCATGAGTTTGCAAAAAAAAATGATCAGATGGTAAGTTTCTACTAGTAAAGACAAGTCAGTTGTTATAGAATTAGATTTTTCCTGCATTATTCTCCGATTTAGGAATGCCTTATATATAATTCATAAAGGAAGTCCATATGAATGAACTTCATGAGTTAGTAGGTTTTGTGGTCTCTCTTAGATTTTTTTTTCGCGATCGTGCTCAAGGCGATTGGTGCAGATCGTATGCATTCACGCATTTGCATAAACATCTGCAGTACG